CTCACTCTTCATGGAAAATGTCATAGTAGGAGGCAATTTGTCCGGGACAAAGAATTGGGTTGTGTCCTGCTTTTCCTCCATTTCCCTGCAACACAATTTACCATTGTCTCATCTATCTCATCGCCTCTGAATCTGCCCCAGTGAGCATTCCATAGAAGATATTATGAATCCTTTTCCTCTTGCTAGTATTTTCCTCCTGCTACTCTCAAAAAGCTATTTCCTCTCTGTACCTTGCAGCTCACCCAGTGGTCATTCCTCATGGACAAACCCTGCCTCTGTGCTACCTCTGAAGGTGGTCACAAGTTACAAAAGATACTGCAATTTGTCAAGGTGCACTGTTTATGCCTGGAAATTCTCACCTTTTCCTTTGGCCATTGCTCTGAAGAAAGGGGACACCAGCCTGCCAGAAACATCTTCAGGGTGTGTGGTCATACCATCCTTCACTGCTTGAAATCCATTCAGTATAACCACTGGGGCCCATCCAAACCATAAAGTGAAGATGTTGCCATGAATTTTTGCCAGCTAGAGATGGGACAGAAGCCAGGAAAGCACAGATGAAATCCCACATATTGCAATCAGAGGATGAACCTGTTCTTGCACTGATTACAGGACCAGCCCTAAGGTGGAGTGATGCTTTCCATCTTTCCCACCAGACTACAATTATCACTGAGAAAGCATGAATGACTTTTCCAACATTCACTGTTGGAAACACCCATGTATTCCCACTTTTCAGAGCCACATGCCTATGTCAAGAAGCATTAAGTATTTTTTATTACTGTATATAAGCCAAGGCTCATTTCACACTCATTAATGGGCTTAAAGGTATTTTCTATTTATTAATTTATTTCAAGAGGGTTTCTATTATCTGTACAAGTAGCACAAAAGAACACAGAACTGTCAGAGGAGTAATTAGCTTAGAGACTGGACTTTCTTCTTTCCTCCCATCAGTTTTTGATCTTGTCAATACGAACAAGCTGATATACACAGAGTGCAGGGAAGTATTTATTTACTGCTCAAGCCAGAGAGTGCCAGTGCTCAGAAAGCTACAAATCCATGCTGTGAAAGTAATTTTTTTAAGTATTTTTTTCCCTAACTCCAAATCTGATATATAATCCCTAAAGATATTTATTTCTAAATTATACCAATTTTCACAGGAATTCGTATAATTTAGTGGCAAAAGGTGATAGAAAGATATCAAGCTTCACACGAATTTCAGTGAAAATCAGTGTTTAAAAGGGATAGCTTTAGACACCAGAATGACTTTCACACATTCAGAAATTCCAATACCAGGTTTCTTAGCTTGACAAACTACTTTACACTGCAATATCTTTTTCTTATTTTGCAAACCAAACCAACAGTTCTGAACCAAACAAAGTGTGATATCACAGTGGCCAGTTAACAGTTACAGTACCAGCAATGAGGTTCTGGGAGAGGATGTTTTCACACAGCAAGCAACATGAGAAAGGAGAAATCACAAAGACTTTTAGACAATTAGGAGTACCTGAAAATAAGTACCTGCATGAGAAGATCACGATTAAACTGAAAGTTCAGCTGTATCAGTGTCCCAAGGACTGGGAGAGGGACTGGTCCAGGAGGAAACCGTCTCCGCACTCGCTGCAACTTGAAAAACTGCGTAATTAGAAGAAATACAGCCACTGCCACAAGAGCTTCACTTATGCTCAACATTTTAGAGTCTGCCTATACCAGCTTGCCTTTATTCAAAATTGTCTTTTGAAGCTATTAAGGTTGGTTGCTAAACCAGTTTTTTCATAAGAGCTTGAATTCACATAATAAATATTGCCCGCCTCCAACCCTACCTCTTTATTATCAACCACTCCTTTTTGTTCCACTCATTACATTCTCATGCTTCAGCATATTAATAGATGCACACCCTTCTTCTTCTTATCCAGATTATACTTATTCAATATAGATCACAGGATTTGTAGGAACAGTATCTTAAAATACTAGGGCCAAGATTTTCCAGGCAATGGAGATGCACATAAATTCCCTATCTAGTTTTTCTGAGCCAATTTTGAATGGTATGTGCTCCTACAAATACTCCAGGAATGCTTTTAGAAAAGTAATAGCCATACATACAAATTAAGCAGGCAAATGTAAGTGGATATTAAATCTTGGAGTTTTTAAATTGGTTTGTATATATTCCATGTACATGTTATATCTAGTAATGGCAAGGCTGATAGAAGTTAAAAGCCCACATTTATCTTAAGATACATATACAACTATCTAATGCTTAATACAAAAAGCAAAATTTGTTACACTCTTGAATGCAATTGAAGACATAACTGGATTAATGTATGATCTCACTTTTTTCCCTAACATGTTAGCACTAGGAAAACTCACAGAGGGTTTTATCTGCTTCTGCATTTCCCCACTCAGTCTTGACATAGAGTGGGTATCCTTTATGATTTGAGAAATCATCAGAAAGTATGTGAGAAAAATAATGCATATTAATGGAGAAAGTACCTCTAGTGTTAAATATACAGATTTAAAAGAAAAAAAATTTAAAACATGGGAAAAACCTAGTAGGGATCTTGAGCTACTGCCAGAATGAAGGGCCTCAGCAAGAACTAGTCATGACATGAGTGTGGATTCTTGGTAACTTGAAAACAGAGTCTGTAGCCAAGGCTCTTTGCCAAGCCTCAGCACTGGCAGGAACCACAAACACAGCACCAGGGGAGTTCACTGGCTGAAATCAGACATGGAAACCTCACAAGAGGGGTTCTGGGCACCACATGACCATGACCATTGCAGTCCCCTCTTACAGATCCAGACTGAAATGCTTCCCTCTCAAAATTGCCCATCCGTTGAGAGCAAAGCACTTGCAAAAGAAACATGTTTTCACTAATCTTCTGAGAAAACTGCCAAGACTCGTGCACCAACTCATTTCTTGCAAGCTGACTTTGGGACAAAAAATATTTCCAGATTTTGTGGCTCTGGTGCACAGAAGACCCTTATCCAGAAAGAGCAGCCTGGAGTCTGCCAGCACACAGTTTACAAACCTCCAGATCAATTAGCCTTCGTTACCACTAATGCATAACTGATTAATGTGTACTAACCAAGGGATGTTTATAGGTTTCCACAAAGGCTTTGTTTGTGCACACTAAAAAGGTGATTTTTCAAGACAATCATTTCTAATTTATCTCTCTCCTTCAACAGGAAAAACAAAATTCTCTTTAAAAAGAAATTGGTTAAGTTTTACCTTCTCTGGCTCCAGTGTAATCTCACAAACTCTGCTTTAAATCCCCCAATTTATCAGAACTTTCAATTTTGAATCAATATAATACATTCACTTTTCTTTTAGATATTGGAAAATTTCCCATCTAAATAATTTTTCATCAGAAAAAGTAATTTTGTCCACTGGAATTTAAGCCCCAGTGCCTTCACACCACAAGGGCTGCAGTTCTCACACCTTTAACCAGTGTTCAGCTGGAGCCAGCCTGGAACACAGTTGTCTGGAATACACTGGAAAAGGAAGATGACTGTGGGTCAGTTCAGATCTGAGGCATGGGATTTATCTTACTTTATTTGATGGAAAATGTATTTATGAGATAGCCAAGGCTCCATTTTCTAAATAATTACTAAATGCAGCCAGCAGCAGCATTTCTTCAGCACTATCTACCAGCTATTCTTTAGGATTAATGATTTTTAACTTGCCAAAGGCAAGCAACTGCTGCCTCCCCTCCCGGATCCTGATGAGTTGTTCCCTTACCAATGTGGAGTTACTGCCAGGGGGATGTTTGTAGGTCCAGCTTGAGGAGACTTCAGACTAACCACCTACATGCCAGGACACGGGTAGAACGATCCCATAAAGGTGATCCTGTGGGCAAAGGAACTGCCAACCCAGGTTTCATCTTGTCTGTACATCCCTGCCTGTTAGACTGGGGTGCTTTAAAACACAAGGTGGGCAGAGGCACCTGAAACAAATAGCTGTGATGATGATGCCATTCCTGGAGATGGCACTGTCAGCTAATCAGAGTATAAAAAGAATCCTTCTTGTGTTGGCATCTAATATCCAATTTGTACCTCATACAAGAAGAATGTATCCCAATGCCATAAAAGAATATCCCTTGTTAACTGCCAGTAAGCAAACCAGCAAAAAACCTCCACTTCTGCCAAGTCCTTAGGCACCTGGTTCATAAAGACTTCCAGAATTCTTCAGTAGTGCCAAATCTGCTCTTGGTCGTGGTGTGCTAAGTCATCTAACTGTGATAAAGAATCCATTTTAAGAAATGAAAGCATAAATTAAGCTGAATAAATTTTTGGAGGATCTGGAGCAATCATCATAAGTAGACTACCTGGCACGAAGTTCCCATGTTGCTGGCAACCAATGGGCTCATAAAAAAGGATAAAATATCAACACTCTGTGACTGCTCACTGTTGTCATTTGTCTTCCAGTCCTGGCTCTTGGCTTGTGATATGAAAAGCTCTCCACAACTGCCTGATGAAGCCACTCTTCTATTTTCATCAGAAGGGTTGAAATTCTATCTGGTTTAGTGGGTGAAACCCTGAACTGTCTTCCCAAGTGACAATGACAGAGTTGTAAACAACAGGCTTGCTCAACAGCAAACCATATCAATCTAAGGGAATGTGTTATCTGCCCTAGAAAGCTCCCTGCAAGAGCTTCTTTTACCTCCTGCACCCACTAATATCCTGAGACAGACTGGAAGGCCTCTAAGCCTATCTCCACAAATGCAACTGTGGCTTATGAGAAGAAATCTTTATTAATGAGATTTCCAATTCATAGACTACAGTTCAAGATCATTCTCTGTAAAACCACTTTCCAGTTGGTAATATGTAAGTCCCAATTCTGATTCTTCCCTTAATGCCTTTATTTGTTACACAGTTTACCAATATTTTCCAAACAGAAAAAAAAAAAAAGAACAAAATATCAACCCTTCATAATTATGATGCTCAGGATGCAACTGTCTGTCAAGAATCTTTCAGGGTAATGATTAACCAAATGAAGAGGAAAGCAAAAATCTTAGGACATGCAAGAAGGAATTCACAAAGAAGCCGTTTTACAGAGTGACTCTTCCCTGAATCTGCCATTTCCTATCGAGGAATGGCACAGATCTGGTAGGGAGGAGGCTTCATTGTGCTCCCAAAAACAAACTTGGTGTTGACTTCCTTCACTCCTTCTGGCAGGGTGAATGTGAATGCTTGTAGCAAGGTGGAAAAGACAATAAAGAGCTCCATCCTTGCCAACAGCTCCCCCATGCACACACGGTGCCCTGTGAAGAAACAGAAAAGGCACTTCAGCCAAAGGATTTCTATCACACCTCCCTTTCTAAACTACCTGGGATTTTCTTTGCTTGTTTACTGCAGATTTTATCCTTTTCTCTTAAGTTTGTCATTTAATGATTCATAGCTGAAAGGCTGCTTGTATTTCCCCAAAAAGTTTCAATTTACATTTACGGCAGGCAGTAAGATGTTACAGAAACTGTCACCAGGGTGGCATAGTTCACATTTACAGTCTTCCCAGCACCATGCATTTTTCTGCTACTGCTTTGATAGCTGGATCTCTTCTCAAAGAGAAACTGGATCTGTCTTCCAAGAAAGACTTTTCTGTGTGTCATTCTTTCTCTTCTCATCTTTTCCACAAACAACTGGACTTCTCTCTTCTTGGAGATATTTAAAACAGTTTGTATATACCCATTTGTAGGTGCCTTCCCAGTTATTTTGAGGAGTGAATGGATCTGAAGTTGTTACCATAAGGAGTAAACAAATCCCTGTTCAGTGCACTTACCTATAGCAAATGGTAAGAATGCTTCTCTGTTTACAAAGTTTCCATCTTTATCCAGAAAGTGGCCTGGGTTGAACTGATCGGGTGTCTCCCATTTTCCAGGATCAGCCAGAACAGAATCAATATTTGCTAAAACTACTGTGTTCTGGAAAAAAAGGAGCAGTGGCTTCAACAAAAACTGTGACTGTAGAGTCTACTGATATGTAAGACAAAGCCTTGTGAAAGGCCATTCACAGGGGCAGTCAAACCTTAGAGGCACTAGAAGAAGAGTTCATGCTCCGAGTCAGGGAAAAAACTCAAACCCCTTTCTAAAATCATCTAATGGACCAAAGATCAAATTGATTCAAACATGCAGCACATTTGTACCTTTGGAATGCGATATCCCAGCAGCTCTGTGTCCTTCACACTCATTCTGGGCAGTGCAATTAAGAGTATGTTACTGTATCTCTGGATCTCATGAATTACAGCATTTGTGTAGGGCAACCTTTTCCTGTCCTCATAGCAAAACGCATGGGAACAACCCACAACAGCATCCAGCTCCTTCTGGACTTTCTCTAAGGAGGAATATTCAGCTTTAAATATACAGCAAACAATCTATAAACTCTATAGTCATAATTTTTCCTGTTGCAGACAGAATGGCATCCAACTAGATGAAAAAGATACTTTATAAAAAAATAATGCCTTCAAATTCCCATACAGATGACCTGAAAAAATTTGACATAGAGTTTGTTTATAGGTTGAATATATACTTTTAAAATAAGATAGTGGATGAGGTCATTCTATAATAATATGTGGGTTCCTGTTACATATACTGCTCTAAGGTAATTTATGAAAAGACTTTTATTAATATTTATTTCTACAGCCAGGGAGTCAACTGGAAAAAATATTAATCGTATGTTAGGGGAATAGTTTAGTAATTGATCAAGGATTGTTCTTCATTAAGAAGCACAGATTTTGCTTGTCATCTACAGATTCCTAACTGCTATTCTGTAATTACTTGCCTTGGGAAGCACTTCTACAAATTAGTTTTTCCCAAGGACTTTTTTTTTTTTACTTACAATCTGAGCTGAAATGGTATTTTCTGATTATTTTTTTTTAACACTAGAGACTCTATCATTGCAATTAGAATTACCCCCACAAAACTTAAGAATGTGTTAATATATCCTGAGAAGATGAAAAATCATGTGAAAATTCAGTATGTGCAACCCAGTTTCAAGTCTTTTGAAGGTAACAAAATGGGACATCCTTTCTCCTTAACACTTCCTCATTTTCTATTTGCCAGGCTTCTGCTGTGACTGGTAGTCAGCTTAAACTGTCAAATATGAGGCAGTTTTTGTACCTTCTAATCTATTCTATCCCATACACTCTAGCTCTTTTCTCAGTCATTTTACTCTGCCAACCTGTAACTTTCTTCTGTGAATATCATTATTAAAAGCACACATTTTCAAGCTACTCACCTCAATATTAGCAACCCCACACTGTATTTAAGTTATTTCTGCTGCAAGAGGCCAAGAGCAAATCAAAGAGCAGGAGTCAGGGATTTAAAAGGATGACCCAAAGACTCCTTAGTGGAAATGTAATCATTACTGTCTGTGGAGGGGTAATGGTGCAATTTATCTTATCTGAGACTAAATTCCTGCAGCTGATTAAATTAATCACACCCTGTATTCTGTTTAGATCTGTTAAAAGAAAAAAAAAAAAAGCAAGCTGGAATGATTAGCTTGAATGTTAGAAAGGATACAGCAAGAAACAAATTAATGCAGTTCACCTGATTCATACTTCAATAATTAGTTCCTCTACTTTGAACAAGCATGACCACTATTTGAACTTGTTTCATTGCTAGAGCTGCAGACCTCTTTGGATGTGCTTACCTTGAATGTCAGGATAAATCACCATATAGAGCAATGCCCACAGTAAAGTGGTGGCTGTGGTTTCTATGCCTGCTACAAAGAGGTCAGCAACAACCTGGATCAAGTTTTCTTCATCAAAAGTTGCATCAGGATCTCCTTTAGTCTGCAGATACAAATTGAAAAGAAAGTTATGGCACACAAAAAAAGAAGTAAACCACCTGGAGAAATCATGCACTTCTAAATTTCTATTAGACATCATTACAATCAATGAAATGCTTAAAATCCCTTGTGGTTAGCAAAGTGTGAGAGAAGTTCAGAAGTACTCACTTTATCTATCTCATCCAAATAGTAATCAATAAAATGTCGATTTTCATCAAGGTTTCTTTTTCCTTTGAGACTTTCAAGTTCCTTTACAAACAGAGTATCCAAAAACGCTCTGCAGGACTTCATCTTTTTAACTGATGGCAGAAAGTGACCAGCAAGCCAGGGAGACAACTCATACATCTGTAAAAGAGATATTTTAGATATGTGATATTACATATAACTGTGTGGCATTTAGCAAACTAAATTTGAATCCTAATACAGGCTTCTTGGTAGTGGAAAAAGCAAGTGAAAGACTGATGATTGAATTAGCATTAGAATTAGGTTGAAGGGATAGTGCCTTTTCAATAATGCATTAAAGATTAAAGCCTTTCTTAATTCTATTTCTCCCTGGAGCAAAATTAAAATTTCTCTCAGTTTTATAGTATAAAGTTTTATTTATTTATTTATTTATTTATGTAGAGAGAGCATGCGTTGTTTTAAAAACAACTTATACAAATACCTACTGAGAGCAGTTTGGAAATAGCTGAACCTGTGTCCACCCTGATTAGAAGGGTAGATTAGGAATCATTTCACTGGCATCTTCTGGGATAGTTACTAGTAAGGAATTTTATTTTAGCTTATCTAGCCAAAGTATCAAAATAGTCATTAAATCCTCCAGGACCTTACTTACAGCAGTTTCCAGTTAGTCAGAGATGGTGGAAATCATACAAGACACAGAACTGGATGAGTTCCAACAAGTTCTGCAGAAGCAGCTGCCTCGTGCATGGGTAAATTCACTTTTTGACTATACACAGTACTGTGGTTCCCCTTCATAAGTGATTCATAACAAAACTGCCCCAGTCTGAGGCCACCTGTTCTGCTGCTTTGCCAGCTGCACTCACAGATGCACATACAGGAGCAAGAGAGAATTTTTCTCTGCAGTGGACCAGATGTGAAGTTGGGAGTTTGTGCCCTGAATGGAGACAGATATCATCCAGCAGCTAAAGGAGGGGGACTTGCAGTGTCATTATATTCTTGTAAGGATGTGCAGATGTGGTACAGGTGTTGCTGTCAAAAACTGTAGGGAAAAGCTGCCATTCAGCAATTTCATGCCATGTTACCTTTGCACAAAACAGTTGCTCTACTCCAGTTTCTATGAGGTTAGCTGACAGTAGAGAAAACAGTAAAAACCTATTTATTCTTGACATTTTTGATAGCCGTGTCATATAATAGAGAGAAGAAAGGTAGCTTGCTAGACAGAAATTAAGATAAGCTTATTTCTGAGCTTTTCAGATAGTTTAACCCATATTTTACTACTGATTTCAGATATAGTTTCAAACTCTGGAGTTGTGCAGGTAGCACATTTTAAAAGAAAGTCCTTTGTAGATCTCTCAGCCATGTAACAAATCTTTGCATTTTCATCCCTGTCCCCCATACACAGGAAAATTCTGTGTTAAGATGAAGCATAAACAATAGAAACAAGTTTTGAACTAGCCATCTTGAAGTTCTGAAGTGCTCACCAGAAATTCTAGGTGCTCTGGTATTATTTACTTTTGTTACTTTTGTAACAAGCAAGTTGCCTTTTTTGCACTATCTATAGAGAGCAAACAAACAAACAAAACTGATTTTCCTCACAAAAAAAGAGACGCTGTTCAAAAATGCTGCCAGGTAGTCAAAGGACTCAATCAGGCGGTGAAAATTCTCATCATCCCTGGAGAAACGATGTCCAAACATGATTGAACAAATGACATTTGCGACCATATGAACAACAGGCATAGTGGGGTCCAGAGGTTTTCCTGTAAACACAAGGGACTGCATTCACCATTAACACTTACTGTTCCTGCTTTGCCCACTGACAGGAGAGCTGATAAAATTTCATCAACATTTCTGACATTAATTAGATCACTGAATGGCAAATTGTAATTTATTGGTAAGACGCCTGAGTAAAAAAGTAACTTCAGACATCTGAAAAACAGTGTTGGTTGAAAAAAAGGAAATTCTGTTCCACTGCCAGTGGGACTGGAATTAGTAGTATTAATTATAAAAATACCCAGATATCATCAAACCTTGGCATCAGCAGAGCTCATATTTGGCAATAACCAGGGTACAAAACAGCTGAGACATTAAATATATAGATGAGTTGAGAAGAGAACCACCTTCTATTTTTGATCATATCATTTTGTATTGGAATATTTCAACATACCTTGTGCGTCCTTGGTCAATGCTTTGCATATGTTATGCTTTTTTTTTCTACACAGGAATAGGAGGCACTGTGACACTGATTTTTTTTACTGTTTGCTGTTACCATAAGTAACAAAGAACTGACTCAGAAGTAATAACACTGATAGGAACAAGTGTATATATATATATATACATATAAAACGAGACAGGAATCTAATTCTGTGATCTTGCTGTGGGGTTTCACACTTCCACAAGTAAGTATCTCATGCAGGTTGCATATACAGACTTTTGAGACTCAACTCTGCATATACACTTTTAATCCATTTTTGTAATCAGTTTCAGAAGTTACAGTGCCCCATTCTCCCACTGCACAGACTGCCCTGCCCACCTCACATACCATTTGTTTTCTGTAAGTATTCCACCAAGACAGCAGCCTCCTCTTGCAGTAAATAATCCTTCTCTTTTTTCCCTAATCCCATCTTCCTCATTGTTGCCATTCCAAAACGCCTCTGCTGCTTCCAGAGATGACCATTAGAGAACAAAACACCTAGAATCATAATGAACTAATGCTGTCAATGCTTTATAAATTGATGGATTGGTAAGGTTGATACATCCAAGAAGCTTCTCTTTTCTTCTAATTTTTTTCAAATATTTTACAGCAGTCTGACAACATTCTTCTTTTCTTTCTTTTTGTATTTTAGCTATTTCTCTTCTGCATAGAAGCTCTTACATTAATTCTATGCTGTCATTATTGTTCTGACACAATACAGAATAGAATTGTTTTAAAAAACTTGTGAAAATAGAAGCTTTTTCCAGATGTAAATTAAGGACTTTGAGGCTCTAAATCAGTATTCCAAACTAGGGATAGAACACAACATAATAAAAGAATTTCTGAGAATAAAAATTACCTTTTCCACGTGTTAGAAATTGAAAGATTCTCTCTTCGGGCCTTCCAGCAACATCTTCAGCATGGGCAGTCAGACCTTCCTTCACTGCCTGAAACCCTTGCAAGACAACTGCAGGAGTGTTTGAAAGCCATAAGGTGAAGATATTGCCATGAATTTTGGCCATCTGTAGAACAAGGCAGAATTAGAGTAACAGGAGTGAGAACTGGTACTTTTAAATCAAACAAAATGAACCAGATCTTCTCCCTGGGCAGATGCCCTAAGAGTGACTGACTTTGAGAACAGAGCATCAGGTATATTCTCACATACAATATATTTTGAAGTCAGGTTTCTATCTAAAGTCTTATTTATTAATGATCATGATGTTTCTAAAATGTCACCCAATATTGCCAAAGTCTGTGATGTCATTTATTATGTCTAACAATTCAAACTCATTGTAGATGAACTCTTCCATCCTCACCACTTGCTACAAGACAGCAGTAGCTCATGAATTTGATGTGAGCCATCTACAGATTCCCCTTTGTGTGTCAAGTGTAGCAAAAGCAGTCGAGGAGCTGAGTAATACAGGAATCCCCCTTTCCCTTCCAGCACAGCCTTGTCTTCAGCTGCCATGCACGCAGGCATCCCTGCAGTGGGCAGGACAGTCCTTCTCCTGGTGCTGAATCAGGAACTAGAAAAGTAGCAGAATAGGCTGGAAAGAGTGGTGTGTTGCCAAGACATCCCAAGAAATGCAGGACCAGGAGATTACACAATTTTGCTGCCTGGGAGCAAACAAGAGGGAATACTTATGCACAGTGAGCAAAAATAGATGTGCTTGCACTTGCACATTTGTGTTTAATTTCATTTTTGTAAGGACCAGTTCATGGCTTTTGAAACCTTGGGATGACCAGTACTAGTCTTCATGTCTGGGATGTCAGAAATAGAGGAAAACACAGCAGACAGGCACTAGCTGCTATTTTATATTATGGAATAATAACACTTTGCCTTGACATATGCAGCTCAGGAGGACGGAGCTGGCAGGACATGGAAAACGAGGGAGAGGGAAGGCTGAGAATGAAGAGGACAAGTGAGGTGCTATTACTTACATATTTAAATGTTAATTATTTAGTATAGGTGTATAAGAACCATAAAAGAATGGGATACAAACTTTAGAAGTGCTGCATATTACAATTGGAAAGGGTTTGAGCATACTATGAATTATTTTAGCCATTTAAAAGCTCAGTCTTGCAAAGCAGACTGAAATCTCTTGTGAAAACCTGACCAAAGGGTATGTCAGAAAATAATTTATTCTAAGATTTTTCAAAAAATCCATTGAATAAATATATATTAAAAAAATCAACCTTTCTATACTGGAAACAAACATAACCTCAGCAGCTATTTCATGGGACACTTAGAAAATGCCAGAGCAACAACAGTCAAAATACGGACATCCAAAAGACTGCACAGAATTAGCGAGTCTACTTTAAAATACAGCTTCTTCCTATGTGTAAGACAGGACTATTATCATCATTATGGTTTTGTTCATATGCACATATGGTTTTATATATACATATATATATATCATAGTAAGTGCAAATTTTCACACAAATAAATATATATTTAAATTATCTCCACCTATTTCCACATTTATGCAATTTAGAAAAAATTCCTCCCTAGCATTCAAAACAAAACTATGTTAAACACCGTTACTTTTCAATCAGTTTATGAGTTCATTAATACATTGCCAGACGATACATACTTTTTTAAGATGCTCATGATGAATTTTGAAGTTCATCTGCAGCAGATTTCCAAAGAAGGGATATGGAGTTGGCCCAGGAGGAAAATGTCTTCGCATCCATTGCAATTTCAGAAACTCTATTAATAGCAGAGACAGCACAAAAAATACCAGCACCTCACTCACTGTTAACATTTTACTCCTGATTTACACAGCTGCGTTGTCTCTCTACAAGTGCTGTGTAGACAGAGGAGAGATCAGTTTATCTTGCTTTTGGGGTACCTCCCTGAAAAGAGAAAAAATACTTGATGCTCCTATGACTCATCTCTTCCCCTGTTTATCACTTTTACTTCCCCACCCCAGAGAATTAAGTGTTCTTATTTGTAAGCATATAGAACATCACTATGTTGCAGCTACACATCTGTCAATCATTGCCTCTTCAAGGAACACAAAATGTAGGTTAATTATACACCTCCTTGTGCCATGACTCCTGCTGTGACAAAAATCTCTGCCCACGGTCCTGGTTTCACAAAAAACCTCTTGCAAGAATGAGAAATAAAAAAATTTCCTGAGGGCTGGCTGCACACCCAAGGGCAGTGGGTTACTGAAAAGTTCAGGCTCATCAGTAGCCATCATATGCACCAGCCATGTGCTCTGCTACTTAACTCGCCTCACACTCTTCATTCTGATGTTCTCTGCTATTCCTTTACTATTTTTCCTCACAGTTTATATTGAAAGGTGTTTGGGGGGTGGCTCTACCTTTTAATTTTGTGCCTAGGACACACACAGACCATAGGACTCCAATTGATCATTGGTTAACAGGAGTTTGTTGCTAATAATGACATAATACCCAAGTGTCCTCCCACTCCCTGCCCAGCTGCACAGGGGAGTGGGGTTGCAGTCTCCTTGGCCAAGCACAAAGCAAAATTTCTTCATCCCTCCACCTGCCTGTGGCTAATCCCTGTGGTTTGCCTGCAGCAGGAACAAAAATGACATACAGCTGCCTCTGAGAACTTCTTTCACAAGTGCTCTTATGCAACTGAGTAACTCCAGCTCTGCAAAGGGTGGCATTTGAACGGGATCAACACAGATTTGGCACTTGCACAGGAACAGCATTAGCTTAGACTTGGCTCTGACTTAGACAGCAGCATGTGACACTCTGGGAAGTCACCGAGATGGCCCTGCTGCCCATGTACCAAACCTACAGAACTGGCACAGCTAGAATTAAAAGTTTTGAGGTGTGAAGGACATTGGTTTACTCCAGAAACAGGGCAGAAAAATAACATTTACCCATCTTGCTGGCCACCGATCTAACTGAGAGCTAGGATCAACCTGAAAAACTGAATTATCCATTTGGAAACCACTTTTGGGACTTTTAGTTCCTTCACTGGTGTGGCATTTTCTCTATCTCAAACTGCTCCCAACTCTGAGTTTAGTATTTTCCAAGGTGTTTCTGGGAGGAGACTCACAGCCCCAAGGCTTTCCTGCCCTGCCCACTTGCAGCCCCATCTGGCCCGTGCACAGTCCTGGCTGGCTGCTCTGCATCTCCCCTGACTCTCCAGGCTCACTGACTTTCCCACACACATTAACCACATTCTGGTGACTGCACCTCTCAGCCTAGACATGAACTGCCTGCATGTAGGAAGGCAGCTGCCAAACAGCTTTGCCAAGTCTTTGGGAGAGATGTCAAGGGAATACAAATTGCTTGTCTCCTCACACAAGATGGTGCTGGAAGACTGGGAAGAGAGAAGCCTGATAAGGTTTTGTAAGCTGTATTTGCCACAGCTTTCATGAAGAGAATTGAATGCCTGGGGAAGCAGGGGTTAGAGCTGTCTGACAGCTCAGAAGAACAGAAAGGTATCCCTCTAACAAGGGAATCCTCCTCTCACTCTTGCCAGGAGAGCTGCTGGCCCATTCTCTTCTGCCCCGTCCTTTCAGCCCATGACACAATGGATAAACAGGACAATGCCAGCTAGTCCTTGAAGCGTGCTTGTGATAACAAAAATTGTAAAGTCTTCTATTCAAGAAAGGAAGCTGGTAGAGCAACAGTAACCCTCACTCTGACCTTGAGTTTTAAATCTTATTGGGTGGGTTACAAGGCCAGTCTCACAGTAAGAGTGGCTACTGACACTTGCCATCCACTAGCCCTGCTTGGGCACTGCTCCTGCCAGCTGCACCTTGCACAGCTCTTCCCTCAGTGTGCATTGGGATTCAGCAGGCTCAGCTCAGCTGTCAGAAGGCTGCTTGTGTGCAGCTGCCTCTCTGCTCTCAGAAAACTCTCAAGAGCTTTGATTCTCCCACAGCTTTTGGGGAACACCACATCAATGTCTCCTGCCCTGCCCCTCCTTTGCAGCCAACAAGCTTTGCTACTCAAGACTGCAAAGACTACAAGCTGCCCCCTGATGCTTTGGGCATCAATGAAGAGACATGGCCAACCTAATGTGCTGTACATCATTGTCATTACAAACATTGGCATGTGAGAGGACTCCCACCTTCACAAAACGCATCTCAAATGCACAAGAGTATATGTCAAAAAAATAAAATATTTTTAGGCCAGTCCACTGGTCCTTATCTGTTTCCACCCACTGCATTCCACCAGCAGTGGGGCTTCCCTCTGCAATTTCCAGCAGGCAATAGGAGGGCTTTGCCTTTGTTCTTGGCCTGAGTCACAAGCCTCACAACCAAATGAAGAGTTGCACTGTTGTCTCTCTTTTACTCATCTGCCCATGGCCCTAGGCCAAATAGACAAAGCTGCTCCCAGCAAGTTGAGATGCCCCTCCACAGCTTTGAGTTCCCATGCAACCACACCTGGGGGCTCTGGCAATGCCCAGAGCCACCACCTATGGTAACAGCATTCCCACAGACCATTCTGGATTTGAGAATGTAGGGGAAGGCTGCTCAGAGCCTGGCTCTGATGCTCCTCCTCCCTCCAGGAAGATTCTGCTGAGTTTCTAGTAAGACTAGACAGAGCAATAATTGTCTACATTTATTTAATTTGTAAAACAGCGGGAAAAAAAATGCAGTACAGACACTTTCCAGACATAGGAAAACCAGAGTATTTTTTTAGGCCTGGCTTCTAGGACATATAAATTTGAGCTAAAAATGAGAACCGTAAAGCTGCACAAATACCAGCACACTACCAAACCTGTGTCTGTGCTTCTTAAATCTCTAATGCTGAGCAACCTAGCGCAGAACTGCACAGAGCTTGTAGGGGTGAGGTTTCATGGTGCTCCCAAAGATCAAGTCTGTGTTGATTTCCTTAACTCCTTCTGGTACAGTGAACTTGAATTTCTGCAACAGGCTGCAGAACATGATGAAAAGCTCCATCTTGGCCATTGTCTCTCCCGGACAAGCACGGTGACCTGCAAGGGGTGAATGGAAAGAGAAGTCAGTCCTCACCAAGGTCTGCAACCAGCCCCTGTTTCCCAGCTTTTCTCAGGAGCATTGCTCATCAAGGAACAAAGAGCTTTGCTGAATCTGACAATTTCCTCTCAGATTGAACTGGACTTACAGCTGACATGTCTGCAATTCATCTTTGAAGGATCTGCCCAGATTATGGAAAAGATATCAGAGATGCTTCTCAGAAGTTTCATTCTTGCTTCCTAATCTATAGGACTCCCTAGTTTTATGAAAGGGATTTCAGTCCTTTGATTCCAAATACGAACAAGAAAGCATATTTAGGTTCCTTCATGGCTTCTGTTTAGTACAGGCTGACTTATCTTCCCTAATAACAGTGAAAAATCAGAAGACAGAGGACACTCTACACCTGATGAAAGATTCTCCTACATAATAGTGTCAGTGAAAACAACATGGTAAAGAAAAATCTCTTCCCAATTTATCAATTAACTCTGTCCAGGATATAATTCCCAGACACAGACAGTGACAAACTCTGTAATGCAGTGGTCAGGTCATTCAATTCAGAAGTGAGAAACCAATTCCTCTTCTGCCCAATTTAGACCAGAAACCTGAGCCTGACATTTTCCCATATCAGCTGACAGCTCTGACAACCAGGCTATTCCCTCCTGGCATGATCCCTGAGAGCTTTTGTTTGTTTAAGCTTCTATAAACTCACATACTGGTGGAAGAGTGATTCCAGAAACTCCACAGGGAAGACATAGACTTCTGGATGTATTTGATCCAGCTTCTGGATCTCCCATTCATCTCTCTGCACTGATGAATATTGAATTATTTATACAAAATAAATCAGCTCCAGCACAGCAGCCTGCCACAGAATATCTACTGTAATGGCATAACCCAGCATATACAGAGGAGAACCAAGGCAACAATGTAAGGACTCAAGTTCCTAAGTGATTGGGAATCCTGGGACATTACTCATGTTATCTTCTCTGCATTTTCACAAAAATCTAGGATCAAGTGTTTATACAATTGGCAAACAGCTTATTTTTGCAGTCAAACATTTTTCTGGGCTGGGAAAACTATGTGCTCCTGCAGTTTGGGGTTACACTCCCCTCTGGCCTTCTCCACAATGAAAATAACACAGCTTCATCTAACTCACACACCTGGGCTCAGTTCTCAGTGCACTCACCTGCTGAGAAGGCCAAGAAGGCCTCTCGGGTCACAAAATTTCCACCCTTATCCAAGAAATGGCCAGGGTTGAACTGGTGAGGTGTCTCCCAATAGTCAGGGTCAAAAAGAGCTGAGTCTACATTTGCCATGATTAGAGTGCCCTGAAAGGAAGAGGCAGTTGTCACAGCTCTGTCTCTCATGCATAAAGAATAAAAGGACACAAACAGATTCCAGCTATAATTCTGCACATGGAAAGGCAGCAGAAATGAAAGATTACATAATTAGGGGAAAAACAATAATCTCAAGGCTTCTGAGGGGTTTTTGTCAAAAAATAAATAAGCAAAGAAACTTCAGTATTTTGGGTTCAGGGATTTCCCTGTATTCCTTCATGTCTTTTTTTTCCCATCTGTTAGCACATGCCATAGAATGTGTGGTCTGCAGTTCTTTAGCACCATATCCTAAATCTAATTAAATGATCTTCCCGTCCTCAGCTGGAGGGGAAAGGGTTTAATGGTAAACCTTTACTGGTGGCCAAAGATCACATTGGAATAGAAGGGATATCTGTACCTTTGGAACATGATACCCCAGAACAGCGGTATCCTTCACAGCTTCTCTGGGAATTGTGATTAAAACAATGCTGCTGAAGCGGAGGATCTCATGAACCACAGCATTTGTGTACGGCAGCTTCTTCCGATCCTCGTAGCAGATGAGATGGGAGGGACTCAGAACAGCATCCAGCTCTTTCTGGACT